TTTTTAAATCATTTAACAAGAACGTCTTTGAATACTGCACTTTAACTTCAAAACACTTTTTTTTACATAAAATTGAATGAAGATGAAAGAGAAAGCTAACACTTAATATATTCTTACTTTTGAAGAGGTTTCCATCTTATGTAGCCATTTTCACCGCAGTAAACGTGCCTGCAGGTTTTGTTTTGTGTCAGTAATAACTCAACACTAATTGCTTCTAACAGAATGTACTAAGTAACTGTAAACGATGATATAACAGGTCATCTTAATCCTGATTTTTGGAAAGGAAACATCGTGAACGAGCTAAAATGTGGCTGATGAATACAAAATAACCTTGCATGAACTTTCTTGACTACCTCACAATAACCTAAGGCCGAATGACTTTCGATAAAAGTAATAATCTATATATATCTTATCTGTAGGTAAGTGTTACCTCAGGCTTGAGAGAACCACTTACAGAAAAGATTAGTTTGGTAGAGCACGAACATTTTAAATACCCACGCTCTTTTTGAAGAAACAAATATATACAAAGAAAGAATGAACAAATAAGTCAGTAACATTACTATGGACGTTAATCATTAAACGTGGAAAAGGTATATAAGTGTGAAAACACTGCATTTTAGCATAGGAAGTCACACATAGGTGATGTGCCTTAAAACAGGAGGAAAACATGAAGTTGGTGATTCTTCTGACGTTTCTTACGCTTTTTCAGGCTGGTAAGAATTTGAGAATGACTCTCTGGCCTAGTTTTAGCTTCAGAAAAAATCTGACTTATAATGACTACTATAAGATATTCTTTTATTTCCTTCCTCTAGAAACGATTTTAATTTGTTTCGAGGAAATTGCTCTTTATGGACATCATATGATAGACAATAAAAGGTCGTGACTTAAAATTATCGCACATGTATCTGACCCGAATAACATCAACTTTAATTTCCGTTTGAGAAAGTGAGTGACACTTATTGATTTTCGTTCAATAAAATAAGCTAATCGTAGCAAACTCTTAACAGTTTTTACCGAGTGGATGTCCAGGTGATTAGTTTTCAAATGCAATTCTTCATAACGACAACAAAATAAATAATCAGAAAGTACTACTAAAACTGAACCAAGATAAAAGTGAGAACACCAAGAAAAATTACAATAATAATAATAATAATTAAACTTGAAATATCACCAAGATTTTGCTTCGCTTTGCTCCTCTAAAAAACCAAAACACAAATTCTTGAAATTCTGCTTTTCAAAGAGGAAGAAAGATAATTTTTGAATCCTACAATCTTTTTCTTTTTGAAAGTGTCATTTATTAAAACAAGTAGGACACCAAATCAACATGAAAAATATCTTTTTGATATTCTTTTTTCCTACATTTTTGTCATAAAAAATTATCAATATTAGGTGAAGGAAAATACTTAAATCGTTATAGGATATCAAGTTTACACCTCTAAAGGTATTCTTTACGCCTTATCACATATATACCTTATATCGAGATTTTTATACCTATCTGCTTTGTATTTGCATAAACAAGGAAACATGACGTCATCCTCGACCCAGCCCTTTGGCTCATGTAGCGAGAGAGAGTTTGTAGAACAAGCTGTTGGTGTCTGCGAGAAGATATTTTACATGGAATTGGCAAGGAATCTTACTGCAGATTGCCGGTAAGGAGGAAAAGCTTTCATTTCTGTAAAGGAGATATGATTTTTGTTTTACTAAGCAGTTCCAAAATAAGAACGAATACTTCTTGTCATCAAACTCATATTTTCATAAGGGATCTTTAACACTGGCGCCTAAACAAGTTTTGGTTCAAATTTTTAAACTGTAGTATACCTTCTGCTTTTTCGCTCTTTGCCAATATATTTTTTATTCAATCAGTGAGAGACAAGAGAGATTTAAATCATTGTTTATTCACGACAAAGAACGAAACAAACTTACCGGAATACATGACGTATCCACACCAGAATAATTAACACTTTACCGTCTATGGCTGAACGGGTTGAATTTTTCCACGTTTTTCTCCAAACAGCACGGTGCATGCGCAACTTTCAGCATGTTTTGTTAAAAAGACGCGCCAGTGCCTCGGAGGATACTTCAGTGAGGACCAAATAGACTATGCGGTCAACAAAACAGCGCTGTTCTTAAAGCAAACTGGCTCGCCTCAGTGGTACTGCTCTAATAAACCAACCAATATGTCATCCTTGGATCCAGACCTCAGACAGCATTTTCCCTGCAGTGATAAACTCTTCGCTGAGGGATACAAATGTACGAAAGACTTCAGAGAGATCTTCAACACTAACAGGAGTGACCCCAGATTGTGCGGGTGAGTATCTTTGATAGGAAACTTGATGCGTCACGTGTGTGGTTGAGATACTCTCTGTGTTACAGTGCTGCATAGCCTTGCCCGAACAAGAAAAAAAATTGTTTTTTTTTTACAAAAAGTAGCGATTTTCATCTACATTCAGTCGTTGAAACTGTACGCGTTTTAAGATCTTCTCGAGTATGTTTAACCTATAATATAATTTTCATGTGTCTGTTTGTTTGTCTTTTCATGATAAAGATAATGTGATAAGCCATTCAGTTCTAAAATCCTCAGCCCAGGGTACTGCAACAGTAAGAAATGAACAGGCTTTCTTTCAAGGGTATTGACTTTGCTTAACCGGAGAAAATTGTTGAGGACAACAAATTAAAAGGAAAAAATAACTGGATAAAAAAAATAGAATTAAATGGACATGACTAATGGGGCAGAATTTCAACCCTATTTCTTTAGATTTAAGATATAACTTGATATACATTTATCTCGTAATTTTTCTTCAGAGCTTTTTCTGCTGCCAGGAATTGCACGCAGTCAGTGTTTGATCGTAACTGTAACAGTAGCATTCAGGTACCATCCGAAAACCGGTTCAACCCGTTTTGCAAAAACACTGGAAATGCAACCGTTGTCGCATATCAAGCCCCCGAAAAAATAGACACTAACGGGAATTGTACGCAAACAGTCTTTGATCGTTTCCGTAACGACACCATGCCCGTACCAACGCAAAATCAGTTCAACCTGTTTTGCAATAACACTAGAAATGGGACCACAATCGTATATCAAGCCTCGAGGAGGCCAGAAATCAGCGGTGCACGCAGGAACAAAAAATCGCTTTCAAGGATGTTGAGTATTACGCTCGCAGTGCTGTATGATTTTGTGATAAGGGGTTTGGGGTCGAACTGAAAGACTGGATCCTGGACTGGAAATGAACAGATTGGGTTCGGCACGAAATACCACAGTAATCTGATAAAAGTTGATGTCAAAAACCCATAGATTAAGGAACAAAATAAAGAAGAATCATCGTCCTTCCTGTATCGTCCTTTGAATCTTTAACTTTATTCTCTCGTAAGGTTTAATTTTAGTGTAACATCTACCTTAAGAAGAGCTGCGAGATCGATGTCGATACTGCACACAAGAAAACTGTGCTTTACTCCATTTCATTTCACCGTTTAAAAATTTTAAAATTCCATCTTGAAGCATTAGACATAAAAATCATAATATTTATTCCATCTAGCAACAGTTACCAAGAATGGCTAATTACTCTCATTTAATCTCTACTTGACGAGTTTAGAATGGATAAAGTAGGCAACTCTGTCAGCGAGCCATAAGTCTGACATAAATAGAATGGGCGTCTTCAATGCGACAATTTCAAAAGCAAAATTCAGACAAACATAAAAACAATGTTGATAAAAAAGATAAGGTTTTTTCTAGAATGCTTCTCTTAAATTGTTGTTTTGTTATTATGTCGAGTAGTACAATAGCTCTCCCGGCTGCCATGGACATGGCGCGACGGCAGCTTAGAGACCACGTGTATGACGTTAATGAACTACTCCAAGACAAATCATCGTGACGTTCAAAATCTAAATGACTAAAAACACTCTACAATTTATCGTTAATAAAGTGGACTGTACATGTTACTTGGCCATCTATGGGTTACATGATTGATATAGGCTGCCAAGCCGTGCGGCTGATAATTACGGTGGGGCAAATTATTGCATGATGTGAGGGCGATACGGGTGTTTGAGCACTGACAATATAAATATAATGAAGCGGATGCAACGGATCACTGAAAAATTGTTTATGTGAATATTAAAATCATAAGTTGTTTACGCATAAAGAATCACGACATTGATTGAAAACATGGACGCCATCTTATGGGTTTACAGTCATCATCTGTTATTTTTCTAATTATGTTTAAGACCTTTGCTGTTGGTTGGATTTTCTTTTTATCAGGTGAGCTAAACGCCATTAGAGCCAAACTAAACTTCATCATTGCATATATGTGAGCTTCGCCATTGCATAAATTTTCGATACCAATTTGATCCCCTAATTCGCTTTGACATAAAGATAAAAATTGCAAGACGAGGAAAAATGACTCAGAACAGAGCGATTGTAAGAGACAAATCTCTAAAAAACGCTGCAGACGGAAACGGACCTAATTATGGACTCGACTCTTTCCGCTTTTAGCATATTAATGCTGAAGTTAACAGTGCAAGGTCTACATTTTTACCTCCCCCACGGCTTGTTTTTAATAATGATCACAGTCTGATGTTCCTTTAAAATACTGAATATATGATATAACCAAATTGTCAGGTTATTATAGAAGACATTTCGATAAATCTTTCATGACAATCGGCATCGTGTCTAAGCCAAGTTGTTCCGCCGTACCTCCTGTTCTGCCGGAGCTGTGTTAAACATTTGGAGTATAGAAATCAACTAAACAAAATATTGTTTGATATAAGAATCTCTACATTCGTTTGTTTCACGAAGCTTATTGAAATTTATTTTTTGTTACCGCGTCTTCTACCCAAAGCTGTTTTATTAGAAAGATGCAGCGGATTACAAATGGTTGGAAGCTGCACTTTTCAAGAATACATTGACAAGGCTCGACAATGTACGACGGCGTTTATTGCAGATCTACAGAAAGATCCTTTTGCGGATTGCAAGTAAGGAGAAATCAAAAGCGTTTGTTGGAGTCTGGATGAAACTTGAATTATTTAGTGTTAAATGGTGTAAAATAGTAACCTTAAACTCGAGAATTGCATAACCATTTACTCTTAATCCTTTAACTCCAGTGAGTGATTAGGAGAGAATTTCTCCTTACTAGATCTACACAATATCATGCGGACAAGTGATGAAAATAAAGAAAAATATCAATTATGGAATTATTATTAGTTGATCCGATACCAAATTCTCCAAACGAACATAATGAGAATCGTTTGGCAGACAATAAGGAGAATTACTAATGAGATCTTTGGAGTTAAAGTGTTAAGTTCTCCCTTAAGCCGCAGC